ATTTCCGAATGTATACTAAAATATGCAAACAATATAAAATTGCGCGTTTTTTTATGTGGTATCCCTTAATTATAGGCTCAATCCACATGAATAATCTATTCAATGCTTCATTTATATTGTCGTTGTCAAAGATTCAAGTTCGTTGTAATCTTCATGAAGATATCAATATATTTTCTTTAACTGCCGCATCCGTTTCTTCTCATTAATCTTTGCTATCGTTTCCACGTTAAGAATAATTATTGTTGAACCTGACATTAGAAATAACAATTGCAATATTGATTTCATCATAAATTCTTTCTGAAAATTACAATACCGTTTTTTTTATTGTGCTGTGTGATTTACAAAATTTTTAAAGCTAATTTATGTATTATATACACACACATTTATACATGTATTTATAGTTTTTTTTTAGAAATTAAAGGAAAAATTTCGTTTTTTTCCAAAAATTTAAAAAATCATTCAAATTATTTTGAAATTTGAAACATACGCAAAGCTTCATCAAAATAATTTGAATGGTTTTCATAAATTTTGGAAAAAGTGATAATTTTTCCTTTATCTTTGACACTCGAATCTATATCTTTGAAACTGCTTCGGACATATGGTCATATAAAGTTTTCATCTTGAATTTATGTAAGAAATTACACCTTAAAATCTTTTACAATGTTTAATATCTACTCTGTATAAGTCATATTTTACGCGTCAATCCTTAATTATCATTGAACATTTGGATTTATTTAAGATTTATATTTACTTTACCATTTTCATAACATTACTTATTTCGTGCATAAGAATAAAACATTTCAATAATTTAAAATATAAAAATATAAAATATATTTAGTATCATATAAAATATATATACAGAAAATTTTAGTATCTATTTGACACGAAAGTCATATATAAACTGCATTTCTTGAGCTATATATAGTATCATATAAAATATATATGCAGAAAATTTTAGTATCTGTTTGACACGAAAGTCATATAAACTGCATTTCTTGAGCTATATATAAGCGTATAGCGTTGCTGGTGAATCATAAACCTACAAAGATATAGTGCAAGCTTTAATAAGCATTAAGAGATGCGACTATCATTTCTATCAATGTCTTTTGCCATAATTTTTGTTATGGCAATTATGCACGCAGCTAAAGCGGAAGCAACGGCCATCTCCGATGCTGATGCTAATGGGCAGGTGCCATTATTATTCGCCAATTCTCGTCTTGGTAAGTCTAGTCGTTCTATAATTATAGCATATTCTGTAGCAGGATTATTTTTATACATAAACGGAATAACTTTTCTTTAGTGAAAGGTTAAGAAATACGTGTTAAAGAATTTATGAAATGCCTACTCGACGTGCGCAAACTGTACATAAGAACTGTATATAAGAAATGTCATCACATTAACAAAAATGTATGTTTTATTTAGGTAAATAAAATATTAAACTGCATTTTTCGTGGAATGAAATTTAAATAGAACAACCAAGAAACGGAAACACTCGCAATAAAATGTGACATTACAAAAAACAGATAAATGTTATTATATATTTTTTCAAACAAAAATGTAAATTATATTTGTACGTCTCTATTGTATTTTGTCTTATAATTTGCAATAATAAATAAATAATAAGCTTGCATCGACAGTATTATGTTTTATTTATAGAAATTTTATATCTTATTTTAGGTTATGCTTTTACACTTAAAATACCAGTTTTGAAGAACATTTTTAGCTATTATTATTTATACTCTAAAATAATGCTTTTGTTTTACATATATTAAATTTGCATAAACTTTATTAACTTATTCAGTTTAAATCACTTATTTGCCTATGTACTAGCACTTATACCCAGGAAAAGAAGTTCCATATTTCATTTTCTTTAAAATTAAATATTAAAGAGATTATTTTTATATAAATGTTTGTATAAAGCATAAATAAGTTACAAAAATGAACATCAATTTATTGATAATATAACTATAAAGATCATTGAATTTTAAAAATAATAATAAGTTTTCATCTAATAATTCAGTTACGTGAATGTGTATAATTTAAAATACTAAAGTGGTCTGAAGGTAGGATGCCCGTCTGTCAAATGTAGAGATCCGGATTCGATTCCTGACTGAGAACACAAGGTGATATTTTTTCGCAATAAATTTCTTTACAGATTCGTCGATAATGATTCGTACAGATGTAGGTAATCATTTATTTGACGTCGCAGGGGAGGGGGGATTTATTAGATGCAAGTTAGCATCAAGTTTTTATTAAATTGATTAGCAATTTAATACGTGATAATACGATCCTGTTTCAATCATGGGGGGTTGCGTTGAATCCAGAAGTAACGGCACGCAATTTAGTGGAAGCTAGGATACATATGTAAAATTACATAATAAAATAATTGTAGCACCGAGATCGTGGTATAATCGTGCATTGGCCTATCTTATTTATTGTGTGTGAAACACTTATACGGTTGTAATAGATATATGTATATATTGTTTAAAATAGATCGGAAGAGCAC